CACTTCTACGGAGTCCCAGTGGTGCTGTGAGTTCAACCGAAGTTAGCGGTTCAAACCGACCAGCTGCTCCAAGGGAGAAAGATGAGGTTATCTAGCCCCATAAAGATTGTCTCAGAAACCCTGTAAGGCAACAATGAGTCAGAATTGACTCGATGGCAGTGGGTTTCATTTGGGCTTTGTCATTTAAGTGGCTAGAAGGCATTCGTTGTAGAAGCAGATTAAGGAAAAAACAAAAGACATATTTGCTTCCATCAAGTCAGTGCTGACTCATAGGGACCTCTGTGGGCTCCAGGACTGTGACTGTTATGATACCAGGTCGAAAGCCCAGTCTCTCCAGTGCTAAGCATGAGGTCGCACCCCAACACATACAGCCCCCGCTCCACGAGGGCTGCTGTGGGAACAGACTAGTTTATAAATAATAGAGTAGCAGCACTCTGTGTCTGTGAACTTTTCTCTTTGTTTTTGAGACAAAATGTTTTCTTCTGTAATTTGTCTAATTGGATCATCACTATACCTGCCGTTTCATTTTTATATCATGCATTCATTTTAATAAAACAAACAAGACGGGGGCACAAAGCAACAGAGCAGTCAGCTGCTTGCACGGGCTGTGCTGTCTTGATTAGAGCCCCGCTGGCGCCTAGGTAGAGCAGCTGGCTGTCAAACAGCACCACCAGCCGTCAGCTAGCAAGGTGCTTCAGAAATTAAGTGTTGAGGAATTTATGTAGGAATGTTTACTAGTTGTATGAAAGTTGAATATGGAAATCCTGATCTACCAGAATTTAACATTTGTTTGTTGATAATGGTTTTTCCAGTAAATCATCTGTTAGCTTTCCTTCTATTGAATTCTCTGGAGATTCACCCCCACCTCACTTTAAATGTGGTTTGCCCCTACTAATTTCTGGACCGTTTAGTCAAACTTTGTGGAAGAAATACGATTTTCGCTCTGTGATGAGTAAGGGCTATTTTTATTTGTTTCCTGCAGCATCTCTCTATTTACAGCTCCCTGTGTGCGCCCTGACTGGAAACCCTGGCACCATTTTCACCATGCCCACAGTGGTGGTAATGGACGTATCGCTCTCCATGGCGCGGCCTGTGTCTGTCGAGGGCTCTGAGGAATATCAGCGCAAGCACCTAGCAGTCCATGGTTTGACGATGCTGTTTGAGCACATGGCGACAAATTACAAGCTTGAGTTTACAGCCCTGGTCGTTTTCTCATCGCTCTGGGAGTTGATGGTCCCATTCACAAGAGACTATAACACCCTACAGGTACTAAACAGAATATGCAGAGCTAAAATTGTTTGTTTGTTTTTTAATCGTTTTATTAGGGGCTCATACAACTCATCACAATCCATACATACATCAATTGTGTAAAGCACATTTGTACATTCATTGCCCTCATCATTCTCAGAACATACACTCTCCACCCAAGCCCCTGGCATCAGCTCCTCATTTTTTTCCCTTTCCTCCTCGCTCCCCCCTCCCTCATGAACCCTTGATAATTTACAGATTATTACTTTGTCATATCTTGCACTGTCCATCGTCTCCCTTCACCCACTTTTTTGTTGTCCATCCCCCAAGGAGGAGGTTATATGTAGATCCTTGTAATCGGTTCCCCCTTTCCAACCCACCATCCCTCCACCTTCCCAGTTTTGCCACTCACACCACTGGTCCTGAAGGAATCATCTACCCTAGATTCCCTGTGTTTCCAGTTCCTATCTGTACCAGTGTACATCCTCTGGTCCAGCCAGGCCCGTAAGGTAGAATTGGGATCATGATAGTGGGAGTGGGGAGGAAACGTTCAGGAACTAGAGGAAAGTTGTATGTTTCATCGTTGCTATATCGCACCCTGACTAGCTTATCTCCTTCCCGAGACCCCTCTCCAAGGGGATGTCCAGTGGCCTACAGATGGCCACTCCGCACTCCTCCTCATTCACAATGACATGATTTTTTGTTCTGATGATGCCTGATCCCTGATCCCTTCGAAACCTCATGATCACACAGTCTGGTGTGCTTCTTCCATGTGGGGTTTGTTGCTTCTGAGCTTCTTCCATGTGGGGTTTGTTGCTTCTGAGCTAGATAGCTGCTTGTTTACCTTCAAGCCTTTAAGACCCCAGACGCTATATCCTTTGATAGCCGGGCACCATCAACAGAGCTTAAATTTATGGACCACAGAACAGTGTTTTGATAGTGTACTGAATATTTGGAATCTGGAATTGTTAGAACTCTGTGTACTTAATGTTCAAGGATAGCTATAAAACAAAGACCAGCTACCAATAAATCGAATGCCTTTCTTCGGGAGAGCTGTGAGTTGTTGACTTATTTTCATCTCTGGTTTTCTGGAATTCTCTGTGGCTCAGAGGGGTATCTTAAGATGCAATACCTCATTCTATAAAGCTCGGGGTCTTAAGATCAGTCCTTTAGTCTTTTCTGTTGTGAGCATCTGTCAAGCCAGCCCCAACACCTGCAGCCCTGTGTGTGACAGCAGAACTGTTCCATACCCTGGCCTTGGCCATGATCTGTGCAGAAGCAAATCCTTGGGCCTTTTGTTCTGTGGAACTGCAACTTTCCCAGAAGATTTGAGAAATTATAAAATAGCCATTCCTTACAGAAAAACCTTACTTTTGAGTAGTTATGATACTTCCTCTTCAATAAATAGCCTTTGATTTACAGGTGCCAGAAAATTACAATTTTTCAAACTGTGGTTAAGAGATGTTATTCTTTAAAGGTGCTGTCAACCATAGACCAAATAATTCACTTTTGGACATCAGGAAACCTGATGTCACCCAATAGTGCCCAAAGCCTTGACCACAGTGTGCAGTCAATACAGGATTGTAGAATGAGACTAAACATTGTAATGATGGTTAGACCAGGTAGAACTCCAGGCTCAATGTAGTTTGATGCGTGTGTGTGCGCGCATGTGTGTGTGTGTGTAATATGTTTTTGAATCATTCCTTTTGTTATCACGTATATTTTTTAAGTGACTCGAAACTTTTAAAACTTGTACTGCGTTTTTTAATAAATAAGTAATTCTAAGGGTATCTAGTGTTCTGAAATTTAAGAGAATTGCAATGTGTGACATAATGGAACCAGAGAGAGCCCCTGAGTCAAACTGCGTGTGTTCAAATTCAGGCTCTGCTACCTCTACCCATATGAACTGGGACTAGTTATCTAATTTCTCTTTAGGGTTTCTGAGACAAAATCTTTATGGGACTACATAGCCTCATCTTTCTTTGCATCCCTATATGGTAGGGAAGAATAGCTTTAATAATCCCTACCATAGAGGATGCAATGGTGATTAGGTGCATTTTAAGTTCCTAGAATGGTGTTTAGGATATGGTTATCAAAAAACAAAGCTAGACTCATTGTCATTAACTTGATTCTAACTTTTCGCGACCCTATAGGTTAGAATGCAGCTGCCTGTGTGGGTCTCTTCACAGGGGCAGAAAGCCTCCTCTTTCTCCCAGGAATGGGCTAGTGGGTCCAGACTTAGGGTTAGCAGCCCAAGCATAACCCACGACTCCATCAGGGCTCCTATAGGAGATCATTAGTAGTCAGTAAATTTTGTCATTATTATGGTGTTTAAAGTTCTTTGTTTCAATTCTTTCCTTCAAGGTCCACTTAAAAGATATGAACTTGGTGGACTGTGTAGGCTCACCTATCAAGAGAACAGAATAAAGGGAAGCTCTTTGAATTGTTCCCTACAGTTAGGGAAGTCTGTTTGGCTGATTTTCTGTAAGAACCTATCCCTGAGACTCTCAAAAACACTGTCCCTTGTATCACATTCACCCTTTGAACAGTTTGTGTTCTTTTTTTAATAATAAATTAAGCAATAATTTATTATTATTTGGTAATTTGGTCTTTTATTCAATCAGGAAGCACTGAGTAACATGGATGATTACGACAAAACCTGCCTGGAGTCTGCTTTGGTTGGTGTCTGCAATATTGTCCAGCAGGAATGGGGTGGTGCGACTCCTTGCCAGGTACTGATCCCTATGCTTCATTGCCCTGAGTTCCAAACATTAAGTACCGAGCGTCTTCGGTTTTCCTTAGGCTCTGACACAGCATGCATTGTCATTTCCAAAAACGACATTTTACACGATTGGTATCTTTTTAAAAGAGGAGACTAAGTCAACACTAACTTGCTCAGAAAGCAGCAAAACTGTGCCTTAAGGCAAGCATCCTCCTAGTAAACTGACTTATTGCAAACTAGTGCTGTTTGTACGAAGCACAGGGCTCACAGTGAGCTTTTCAAATTACCCTCTTGGTTATAATTTTGAGTGATCGAAATTACAGATTAGCCTTTCCTTATTAATGTTGCATCGATTTGGCAAGCCACAGTTCATTGTTAATACTGTCTAATCCATATTCAAGATTAGTGACTTAACAAGCTTAGTTACCTGATTTTGTTTAAAATCAAATCAGAGGTGAATAGTAGCAGAAAAAGAATTGGAGGTTTGCTGTATAAAGACAAAAAAAAAGGTAAGAGGAAAAAAAAACATATGTTGAGAATTGGTAGTATATTTTGAAGAAGGAAACAAAAAGATAAGCAGAGGAGAATAATTTGTCTACAATAGGAATTAAGAACTGTTTTCCTGTGAATTACCACGCACTGCCATCAAGTCGAGCCAACTCGCAGTGACCCCATAAGACAGGGTGGGCCTGCCCCGGGAGTGTGGGAGTCATTGACTGTCTACAGGAGCAGAAGGCACTTCTTTCTCCCGAGGAGCAGTTGATGGTTTCAAACTGCTGGCCTTTAGGACCACAGCCCAACTCAGAGTCACTACACAACTAGAGATCCTCTTTAAAGTACCGGGTAGTAAATATTTGAGGCTTTTCAGGGTTGGGGTGCAACTATAAATCTCTGCATTAGAGGAGCCACAGACAATACTTTAACAAGTGGGCATGGCTGTTCTCCAGTAAAACGCTTTACACAACACAGAGTGGACTGGCCTCTGCTGTGTGTTTTTATTATAGGACCTAACACAGGATTCCTCTGTTTAAATTAGGGTTTCTTCAGGGTGAGGGCAATATAGGAATTGATTCAAAAGAGAAACAAGGGGATTTGGGGAGTGAAAGAT